GAACTGTTTATTTTATTTTTATCACAAAGAATTATTCTCCAGTTTCACAATGATACAGGCTGTATCTGAAGCCGACCCACAGCTGGCACACATGTTTTTTCCTTCTTTTTTCTCTGGAAATGTTGAAAAACACAAATACTGGATGTAAAAAATATCTGAATAAACTGGCCTGTCTGACAACATGACTATTTTGTTTACGATGCTCAATCATTACATCAGTGTCTGTCATTAGTGAGTCTACATTATAATTTCTGAATTTATATGCAGTCTAACTAGTCAATAATCCAATAAAGTCCATATTTACATGTTTAATAACAGTAAATAATCTATTTGACAACAGATAAAATCGATTTTAAATAAGGTTAAACATAAACATTAAAGCTGTTTTATGTTAGCATGCAGGTTTTACAATTAAAATAATTAATTTTGGTTAAATATACATAATATTTACCTGTGAAACATAACCCCTTTAGCTCTTGTAAACATGTTGTAAAAATTTCTGCAGTTCATAGCAAACAAACAAAGTACAGAAATATTTTCATAAACCTGTTGTCAAACAGAACCAGCAGGGTTTTTCCCCCTCACTGAGGTCAGTTATTTCTAATCAGTCGTGTCCTCAGGTGAGGCCTCAGAGAGGGAATTTGTGGCATCAGACAAAACAAAAAGGTAACATTGTTCTAGATGGTCTTTAGATTCTGAGAAAACAATTGAGTTGTCAGGCAGTGATCAGTGCAGAAACAGATAAATGATGTTGGGTTGAAAAAAAAAAGCATCAGTTCAGGTGGACAACTTGTTTTGCTCATTGTCAAAAAAACTAGTACTTTCAGGAAAAAACTGTGTTTTCATGTGGCACAAAATTAGAAAATACAAGAAACTGCACTTTACAAAGCTTAACCAGGTTTTGTTTTCCAAATGAAAAGTTTTTTGGTGTTCCATGTGTGACTTCCACATTGAAAGTTAAAACATTTAGGAATTAATTGAAATGGACTCTCAAGGTGAAACAGTAGTAACACTAAAAATGAGAGTCAAATAATAATGAAACCATTTTTATTTCCAGAATTATCATTTTAAACTTTCCCATCAGATTCCTCTTGCAACACTTTAAAGGGTTTTGTTTCATAGTTTTGACAACACTGTGTTAAACTGTGTGTTGCATGGTGTTCACATTAATCACCAGTAAGACTTTCAGTGTTTCTACATGAACTGGTTTTTACCTCCGCCAAGGGGAGGAGGTAATGTTGGTCGTTCTGTCGGTCTGTAGACAAAATTGCTCAAAATTCTGTGGACAGATTGTCATGACATTTTTATCAAATGTGTGTACTGGCCCAAGGAACACACCTTTAAATTTTGGTGATGTTCCGGATCACTATGGATACAGGATTTTTTTTTCTTTTGACCCTCTGAGGTCAGCAAAGCTGTGATGCATTTACAGGGCTTCTTCAGAAAACAGTGGGAGCTTTCAGAGTGTTCATTGAACTGGACTGGACAGCATGGACTTCAAACTTTATAAAAGTAATGTTTTTATACAGTTTTATTTTTTATTTACTTCCAAATAAAACCAGGTTTAATGAAGAATAATTTTTGCATTTTTACACATTTGGTGCACATTTAGAGAAGAGTTTGTGACCAGGATGAGCGTGACTGCACCATGAAACTTATTTTTCCCATTTCAACAAACACACCACATTTCCGAAACAACCAATCAAAACAGTTTGTCGGAAGGGTTGAAAAACGAGGAAGAGGAGTGACTCACGCTGGTGCAGTGGACTTCAGACTTGGAGGTCAGTTGTTTGTTTGTTTGGCATGGAACATGTAAAAGATTATAATCGTAACAGAGGCAAACTGCACCACATTTTACAAGCTGATTTCATGAACTCCAGGGGAAGACGAAGAAGAGGAGGGAGAGGAGAAGTTGCCCATCCACTCTGTCAGGCCCAGAACACAGAAACCACATCAGACCAGCAGCAGAACCAGAACCAGATCCCTGCTGGCTACAGCAGCTGAAACAGGTGATGGGCAGTGGAACATCAAAACGAAAGCAGACAGCCCCTGTTGTTCAGCCCTTTTCAGCTATGGAGTGCAGGTAGATCTGCTGTCCCCCCACAGTCCAAAAGACCTTTTTTTTTGTTGTTTTTTGCTTCTGATACGGTCAAAACCATCTGTGATAACACCAACAAACATGGTACAAAAAATAAAAGCTAGTGGAAAACAATATAAATGGGCTCAAATAGACACAGAGGAGTTTTATAAATCTTTGGGTCTCCTGATCTACATGGTTCAAAATGTTCAGGACTTATGGTTGTAAAAACAAAAACATGAGACATAAGGTTGGAGAGATTTTGTGATTGAGTCATTGTCACACATTTTTGAAAAGATTGTAAAATAAAATAAAAAACACGAGACATTGTGAGGTTGGAGAGAATTTGTGGAGGAGTAATTGTGACACGTTTTGTACATTGTTGTAAAAAACGCCTGGAAATTTGCACACAATTTAAGGTAAAACCATGGATATAATTTTTTTTTTTTTTTTACAAAATTTGTACACATGTTTATGAAATTTACACTATAGGTTTTCATTACAGGTTTAAAAAAATGGTTCGTTAAACATTTCTGTGAATTATATAATAAAAAAGCCAAACTTTTCCTACTCCTATTTTGTTTTTGTGTATGGTTTTTTGGTTCACTGTGATAATGCAGTTTGTCAAAATGAAACAAACACTCTAAAATCATAAAACTGAGGTTGTGCTGAAAATAATGATACCAAACATGGCAAGGTAAATAAATAGTTTGTAAGGTGGAAATATGGAGGTAAATTAAAAGTTAGTCAAAAACGGCTATTTAGACCCCAGAYTTCAGAGGGTYAATTCGAGTGAATCAGCCAGGCTATGCAGTGTCATTACGTCAGATGCATGCCTGTAGRAAACAGGAAGTACAAGTCAYAAACTCGCTGRGACAACACATCCCAGTATATCTACTATCAGGAAAGCTGTGATTATTCTGTTATCAACTACTTCTTGCGATGTTACATGCTGTCTGGAGATGTACAAAAAGAAATGCGATTCTCTTCACATTACGGGAATAACAGGACACCGACAGCGGGAGGAGGTTCCTGCTGCAGCCGAGCCAAAGCTGGACTGTCCGCAGGAACAGCTCATCAACCTTGTGAGGTACCCTCTCCACATAAGAACTTTATTGTGTGATTGCTCTGAAGTTCGTGGGAGTGTTTGTGCTGAAAGCGCTTACACGCTGWATTTTGCTTCAATCACTCGCTTAAAAAATGACACTCGCTTCATGAGCCGACTGCACCAGGAAGTACTTTATAAAGAGAGTCAAACCATTACAAACTCATAAAAGGGGATAAAACATGTTTTACACGGTGGAATGTGACTGATGAAAACTTAGGAGCTTAACCCRAGACCAGTTTGACGATGAATAACGTCGGTTGACGAGTCCGACATTTTTTTTATATTGGACTCTGCCGGGAAGAAATTCCATGCATACTGCCTGCTTAAATGTTTGCTGTGTCAGAACTTATTCGGCAAATGTGTTTCCATCTCTGCTTTTGCACATTAACTCTTACAGGATGGGGAAAATTCATCTTGGCGGAGGTTTGTACTCTCCGAGTGCTTCTAGTTTTCAAATGTTCTCAGTTTTAAAGAGACGATTTGGTACCTACATGTGATRTTCATCCACATCTGCTCGGACCTCTCAATGTTGACGGCGTTGCTGGCCACACAGCTGTACCAGCCTGTGTGATTGTGATTAAGTCCTGTCACGTTGACGACACTTCTGTTTCCCTCTGTAAATGTTGTGAAGTTCCCACCATAAGTTTCCCRTTGCCACATGTAATGGATCGGCTCCGTCCCGTTTGCCACGCCGCACCGCATCCASACTGTGSATCCTTCCACTGGARACGTGTCACTCATCAGGAGGGAYGGTTTACTGACAGCAACTGGAGTCAGGATTAAGGCATACATTTGGGTGTTTTATATGGAGTTGTATTTGTGCCAAAATATGTTGTTGAGCCTTAGTCCATGTTCTTAAACCTTCTGTTGTCACATGATGTTGTTTTGTTCTGTCTATACAACTATACAAATGTTCCAAAACCATGTTTATAAGTCGATCACAGACAGAACAAAACGTTATGTGTCAAMACAAGGTTTAAGAACATGGACTAAGGCTCAACAACATATTTTTGGCACAAACGGAACTCCATAGTTTTAATGCAGGAAAATCATTTGGCATTCTATGCTATAAAAAGTAAGCAATTTTTGAATCTACTTTTTACTTGAATCTAGYAAAACCTTTTTGTCTTTTAGAAGACATTTTCACATAATCTTTAACTGCAGTTAKTTTACAGCTGAAGTGAACAGGAGGAGTTCTGACCCTGAGTGAGGCTGCAGGTCTTGGGTTGGACCAGGAGTGGTTTAGCGTAGCAGGTGTAGGGATTCCCACTGCGGGCGGTGCCGTAGCAGARGACCAGGATGTTGGAGTTCTCCTGTCCACCTTGGCTCTGACACAWTGGCCCCTCCCACCACACCAAGGCTTTGGGAGCCCCTCAGATACCGTATAGTGCTGGTCACGTAGGCGAAACATACCGGCTCTGCAGGAGGAAGATCTGATGGAGGAGAAGTCTCAAAACAATTAGAGTCCAACTTMCAGTAACTTCTGAAACCTCTCCTGTACTCACATACTCATGTGCTGCACTGAGTCTGTTGTTTCAGAGCAGGGTGGGAGCCCACNCTTGTAAATTCTGCTGTTTGTCTCTGTCATTTTGGACCCAAGCAGCAAAACCAATGAGAAAGTGAAGTYCTCATCATCACCTGGTTATGTTGTTACTCTGACTGGTAAAATGGAGCATTCTATGATTCATGATAAAGTGATGAAGGAGGAAACAATGTTTACCATTTTCTCCCATTTGGACTTTTAATTACCAGTGATTTGTATCAAACTTCACAGTACTGAAACTGAGTCTTACACACAGTCTTTTTTTGGTAACTATTATGTTTTGCGAATGTGGTCTGTGACAGGGTACAGCACAGCTAAAATAAATCAAATGAAAGTTTTTCAAAAACTGACCATTTTAATTTTTAAATTGAAAACAATAAAAATGTCATCTGTGTATGTAGAAATGAGAACCAAAACCCACAGTATGCATTTGTAGATCACTCTGAATGATTTGTTAATGTGARGACATTCAGGTGAATGTGATATTGTTATTAAATGGTAAAATTACCAAAACACCTTTGAAACATAGTTTGACATATTGGCATCCTAAAGAAAACGTACCAAAGCAGAAGCTCACATAAACAATACACTGTTTTTTATCATTATGAATTTATTAAAGAAACCAAAGAAAAGCATACTGGACTGTAGGATGCATCTCATTTTGGTGTTTTTAAGAAAAGAAAAAAAAACATTGTTTACAGGTGTCTTCACATCTGTTTAGAGAGCACTTCTTGTTGCAGCTGCATTCACCATCATTACCATCATGACAATGAGGAATGAACACATGTTTTCCACAAAGATTTGGCTAATCTGAAAAAGCAAACGAACAAAAACAAGCATTTAACATGTTTATGGCTGCATTATGAGGAGAGAAAGTGAAGATTTTTTGCCACTTTATTTATTCTCACCTCTTGGGCCTATTAGTGGTATGCATCTGGAACCACATATATTATAACAGCATTTACCATCTATGCAGAATCTATCCCAAGAGCACTGATATCCACATTGCCAAACCCATGGAGGTGGACACTCACGAYCTGCTGAGGAAAATGAGAAAACAATTATTTATGCAGTCAGACAAATATGAGCTTTGAGATAAACACTGATTGCTTTAACATTTTAATTTAAATGGATTGAACACACTCGTTATTATAAACTTAGTTKAATATTGTATCTCTCCTTTTGAATAGGAGAAGCACAARCAGATATGTAATCAAGTAAACAACATTTGTCAGCTCCAGGGCAGTTTGTGTCATTCTGACATGGTTTTAAAGGAGAAAAATATTTAGAGTGCTTCGGATGTTGATCTGGTTTTAGCAAAAATCTGAGAGGTAATGAGAGAAAGCGTAATTTCTGCTAAAAGCTTACAAACCAAAACTCAGACAAATGAGATGTGAGAATTGTCCGTTTTCATTGAGCACTATTGAAGGTAGACTGTCTGTTTAGCAAAATATCTCATGAATAACTTAAAAGTTTGATGAAACATTCAGAAATAAGTCACATTTAGAGAGATCACTTGTCAAGCTTTTAAACTAAGACTCAATTAAGTCTTGTAGTTTTAGTCTGCAATGTTTGTATTAAGTCCTGTAATTTTAGGTTAGTTCAGTAAATTTATTTA